CCCGAACTGGTGTGCCACCGAGCGGTAGCTGTCCGGTGTGGCCAGCTTCCACAGCGCGATGGCAACCCTCTTGTTGACGGGGATGGGTGCCCGCAGCCGGGTGGCGGTTCTCTGCAGCGCGGGGGTCAGCCAGGTGCACAGCATCAAGAAGGTCCGCTTTCTCATTCGGAAATTCCGGATCCACTGGTAGTCGTCCCATCGTCCCAGGACCACACGGTCCCACCAGTCGGTGCTCGTTTCCAAAGTCCAAATGGGCCGGTCTATCGTAGGGTGCTGATGCCACGCGGTTACCAGGACCTCCCTGGTGAGGGAGTCCAAGGCAATCTCTGCCTCCTGGTACATGAACACCAGGGCACCAGCCTGCAGCACGAGCTCCAGGCACCTGTACAGGTCTAACAGGGGCCCGAGCAGGTACATGGCCACCCACGGCTCCATAGCAGACAGTGCAGAGCAGAAAAAATAAAATGCCAGGAAAAGCTGGTGGGGGGCCAAAGGGTGGTGTCCCCAAAACTCACAGGGCAACCACCGACCCTGTGAAGGGTGCCAGTCTCTGGCAGAGGTCACAAGGCACGGGAGCACGAGACCAACGGCTGCCCGGCGAGACCCCTTTAACCACGCGTCTGGACGGAGCTCCGGCCCCGCCCCCGGAAAGGTCTGGTGGCCTTTGCCCTTTTCAAAATGGTTCCGGGCTTTTTGCTTTTCCGGAAAAGCGCGCCGCCAATGTAGACGCGCTTTTCCGGAAAAGCGCATCGTTATCACGGAAACTCCGTGGCCAATGTAGACGCTCCTTTTCCGGAAAAGCTGAAAACGGAATGTATTCCGTTTTAAGCATTTCCGGAAATTCATGCCAGTGTAGACGTAGCTTTTCTGTGTCCTCATTAGATGAGTGTTACTTTTGTAATCAAGTTTCTGGTACAAATACTCATTATTACAAATGTGAAATTTATCTCTTTTTTCCCTGAAGCAAGTTTTAAAAACAGTTGGACCAAATGCTTGATATATTTGTCTAGCTCCAGTTTGAATTCACTCCTTTTCGTCCTTTCTCTGTCCTTATTGAAACACCACGTTCTTTATTATTCTGTCTAAGCCCATGTCTAAATATTGCCTCCACTTTTTCCACAGCAGCTTCAACTTTCCAACTTTTCTCTTGGTCCAATGTGTTTTGTTTTTAGAATTTAAAGATGAATTAAAATTTCAAAATGTATGTCAATGCCTTCCTGTTGTGGGAGTTTTTTTTATTGTGTGTATTATGATTAAATGAAGGGAGGCCTGTGTTGACTAATTGAGCGTATGACTAAAATGATGAGAAAGAGACAGTCCCTGCCTTTGTTTTTAATTTCACTGTCCACTGCAGCACTAATGTATACAGGGCTTCATTAGAAAATTCTCCATAGTTGCTTTCAAATTCATGCACAGCTTCAGACTGATATATGTATTTCAAAATTGTATCTCATTGCATTTCATACTCTGGTCCTTCTATAGTCTAATGACAGGTGCTGACTTAGGATCCTTTGGTTTAATGGAGCATCTTGTCTTCAGATTTCAACTTGTATAATAATGTTCTATAGGTTTCATTTCTGTATTCAATTGGAATTTGACATGCTGCACCTATTTAAGTAATTCTGTTCCTTTGGAGTGGAGCTCATGTTCCAGTTCATGTAAGCTTACAGCTGTATCAGTAACATTAGACTCTTGAAAATCTGCCTTATATACAGCAAAACCTGTGTTATTCCACATACCCGGGGATTATTGCGTGCTGGTAACCTAAAAATTCTGTTTCTCTGGGGCGGGGCAGTCATGCAGGGCCTATGGGGGACGTGGGGGCGCCATGTGGAGAAGGGGGGAAGCCAGGGGGCAGGAGGCGGAGATGGCATGTGCATCCTGCTGAGGGGGAGAAGCAGGAGCCATGGGGGAGAGGTGGCCTGCTGGGGGTGCCAGGAGCCGGGGGGGGGAACCAAGATGTTTGTTTCCAGCTGCTGTTTGCCTCTTCCTCGGGTACATGCTGCATGTTCATCTGAGGAGCACTTAAAGAGACAGAAGAGACAGTTTCCTTTTTTTTTTTTTTTTTGCTTTTCCTAGCGTCAAAAATTTGCCTGTTTCTACTGTTTTCCGGATGCTTAAGTTCCAGATAGTGCAGGTTTTACTGTACTTTTTAAGCTTCTTCTAACTTATTCAACCAACAATGCAGTGCTAGAAAATAGAATACATGCTGCTTTCCATGTGATTTCTTTTCTAACTTTTTTGGTGATAGTTTAGCCCAGTGGTCACCAACCAGTAGACTGGGATCTAGCAGTTGATCTTGGATCCTCTGACAGGTTATCCTGACTGGTTTGGCTAGAAAACTACCAAGTGCTGGCATTTCAGTTGCTTCTCCACCTACTGTCATGCTGCTCCTGTCCTCTGCCTTGGAGTTGCCCCTTGGGAGCTTCCTGTTTCCTGTGCAGAGTGTGGGAGGAAGAAGGGGAGGGAGGCACTGATGTCAGGGTGTCCCTCCTCCCGCCACTCCTGTACCTTATCTCCACACAAGAGAAGGGGATGGAGGGAGCTAGGCAATGAAAATCTGTCACGCACACACACTGTGTGTGTGTCTGTCATTCTCACCAACACATGCTGTCTTTCCCTCTCATCTCCTGACCCCAGGAGTGGATGTTACTACTTTTACTGCTTGCAGAGTGTGATATTTTTGGGTTGCTGTCTTTCCCTCTCATCTCCTGACCCCAGGAGTGGATGTTACTACTTTTACTGCTTGCAGAGTGTGATATTTTTGGGTTTTGACTGGGCTGTGTATTTCATAAATGTAACTATAAGAGAGAAATGAAAGGTAATTCTTTGAGTAGCGAGTTCTAAAATGCCTAACCTGTCATATCTGGAGTAATTATCCCTGTGGTAATTGTGCTCCTGGAAGTGGCTGGCAGGTCCCTGTAGCCCCTGAGAAAGTCAGAGCAGGGGGTTTTCACATGCTGTCCTTGCCAGCCGACACCAGTCCTGCAGGTCCCATTGATCAATAATAGAACCGAGGATGGTAGAAGCTGTGGGGCTGGTGCCTGTAGATGAAGGGCAGCACATGGAGTCACTGCTGTACATGCCAGCTGTCTTCAGGTGTGGTAAAGGGCATGGCAGGAGTAAGCCTGCCTTAACATCAATCCGTGGGGCAGCTGTCTGGGTGCTTCCACGGTAGACAGAGGGGGGCCGGACTTGAACACACAACCCAGCCAAATGCCCTATCCCCTAGTCCCACCTCCCTACCTTCATAGAATCATAGAACACTAGAACTGGAAGGGACCTTGAGGTCATCGAGTCCAGTCCCCTGCCCTCATGGCAGGACCCAGTACAGTCTAGACAATCCCTGATAGATGTCTATCTAACTTGCTCTTAAATATGTCCCTGTATTGTTTGCTTATATTCATCCTTTGTAATTTATCCTAGTTTCCACTTTTTATATGACTCCTTCTTGATTTTTAGATCATGCAGGATCTCCTCGTTAAGCCAAGGTGACCTTTTGTCATACTTTCATTCTTTCCCACACAGCGGAATAGCTTGCTTTTGGGCCCTTAATAATGTCCCTTTGAAAAACTGCCAACTCTCTTCAATTGTTTTTCCCCTAAATCTTGCTTCCCATGGGACCTTACCTGCTTTGGGTACGTTTAGACTGCATCCCTCTGTCGGCAGAGGGATGCAGATTAGGCAGGTCGACATTGCAAATGAAGCGAGGATTTAAATATCCTGTGCTTAATTTGCAAAAAAAGCCGCCGTTTTTGCTGACTCCGCACTTTGTCAGCAAAAAGAGGCAGTCCAAAGGGGGATCTGTTGAGAAAGAAAGCCAACAGAGGGATGCAGTCTAGACATACCCTCTGAGCTTACCAAAATCTGCCTTCCTGAAATCCATTGTCTCTATTTTGCTTTTCTCCCTTCTACCATTCCTTAGAATCATGAACTCTATGACTTCATGATCACTTCCACCCAAGCTACCTTCCACTTTCAAATTCTGAACCAATTCCTCCCTATTTGATAAAAATCAAATCTAGAACAGCTTGCTCCCTAGTAGCTTTTTGAACCTTCTGAATTAAAAAAGTTGTCTTTAATGCAGTTGAAGAACTTATGGGATATCCTGTGCCCCACTGTGTTAGTTTCCCAGCATCTCTCTGGATAGTTGAAGTGCCCTATCACCACCAAATGCTGTACTTTGGATGATCCTGCCTTGCAAATACAGGAGCCAGCTCCATCCCTGGCATAGCCTGTCATGCTGTACTTGGGGTGGAGGGAAGATCAGGATTTGAACCTACCCCCCTGCAATCCCCAGGTGAAAGCCCTAGCCCCTAAGCCACTCCAGAACTCACCCCAACTCTGTACCTTCAGAGGGTCCCTTATTCTGCTTTCCAAATGCAGGCGCCAGCTCTATTCCTGGGGTAGCCTATGTTGCCTGTCTACTCCCAGGGTGGGCAAGGCAGGGATTCAAGACCCCAACCCTACACTCCCCAGGAAAATGCCCTATCCCTTAGGGCACTCCAGAACCAATCCCACCTACCTACCTACCTTCAGGGCATCTCCTCCCATACTCCAAATCCCTTGGCCTAAGACCAGATCTTGCACCCCAACCCTCCTATCCAAGCCTGGTGAAAATAAATATGATTCGGGGAGGAAGGGGGATGGAATGAGCAGGGTGAGGCCTCAGAGAAGGGGTGGA